CGGCTGCACTGGCATTCATAATGGTGCGCGTCCATGGCGACGAGCGAGCAGAACAGAGCGAACGTTTAGTTAATTTCTACTTCCATAGGAATTCATTCGAGCGCCACCATTTCAATGTCCGTGCGGACGTCCATATTATACTTTCGCTTTCAAGTTAGTGTTTTTAAACCCCCCAGCGGGAGGTTTACACAATTTGTTTACACAATCACACGTTGATTAACCGGTGGGAAAATATTCCCATAGTAACATCCCTAATATATAAATATATATAAATTCAATAGGCCTACCTGATTTTGAACACAAGAGGGCAGTATAGCACTATATATGATTTGGATTATTATTATTTTTGACTAAACAACCATTCTGGCTGTTTTTAAACTTAAAAATAATTCTTAAATTGAAAAAAAGGAATAAAATGGGTTTAGTTCTAATATTTGTATAATTTTATATAAAAATAAATGGTGTATAATTACATTTTAGAAAGATATGAGACATGCCCTGATTCTTTTTTTGACATTATTGTCCTCGATCAGAGCCCTAATCTGTTTATTTTTTCAGTTACACATTCTACATTGATTAAAAAAGAAAAATCAAATGTGTTTTTATTTTATACAGAAATAAATAATCTATCATTCAGATGAGAATAAAGTTAGTGTTAGTTCAAATTTTAAGGAAAACAAATATATGATCTGAAATATAGCACATTCATTTATAATTCATTCAGGTTCAATTACCAAACATACAAATCTCAATGTAATTTAAAGCAAACAATACATTTAAAATACATGGGTTGTATGCTATTTTTTTTTATATAAAAAGATATATATCCAAAAAGACAAGGCCTAAACTTTAACAAGGGTTAAACAATCACTGTAACAGACACAATCACACACACACACACACACACACACACGTCAAATCACTTACATTTTAGATGCAATATTGACTTTTTTTTCTGTTTCAGCAGCGAAAATAGTTAAACAAAGATCACAGCAGAACCATCGAGCATCTCACAGCAACGCGTTCTCATTACTGAATGATTCAGCATTTTGAACGAATCGGTTGACTCAAAGATTCAACGACCAATCCATAATCTGTCTCATTCATGAATGACTCAGCCGTTCGAACGAATCGTTTGAACGAATGAATCAATGACTCGCTCATTAAGACGGTCGCCTGGCGACACCTAATGACGGTTTAGTGATATTAAAAGTATCATTCTTTCCAACGATTGTTAATTAACTCATATTTGAAACATAAGCTATATATATATATATATATATATATATATACACACATATATATATACACACACATATATACACAAAAATAAAATAAAAACACATTTGAAGCGTGTTTGCTTACTAAATTGTGAGCGGAACGAAAGTTGCAGCAAATATCAGCAACAGGAGTCAAATTTCATTAATCACGAGAGTGAAGAGCTGACTGAAAAGATGATGACGGAATAGGCTATTTTATGTAAAAGCCCCTATTTAAGCGAATCTATCATTGTACTCTTTTGTTGTTGTGTTTTCCGTGAAAAATAATAGACTATTGAACTCACAATTCAAGCAATCGGCCCCGTTATTGCACTAATTTTAAAGTGACACTAAAAAGTATGCGGCTGCACTGGCATTCATAATGGTGCGCGTCCATGGCGACGAGCGAGCAGAACAGAGCGAACGTTTTTTAGTTCATTCCTACTTCCATAGGAATTCCCTCGAGCGCTCTGCACGTGGCCATTATCAATGTCCCGTATTTAAAAGCTCTCGGTCCTCAGTCACATACCAAATATATGTATAATGTATATATAAATATAATTTTGGACACAAGAGGGCAGTATGGCCCTATGTATAATTTTGTGTTTAAACTAAAAGAGCCCCTCCCCCCCTCCCCACACAGACACAGACACAGACACACACGAATGGCAGGGTGCATTCTCTCTGTCAGAGGGAGAGGGAGAGAAAATTCTCAGAAACATCCACATTCAAACCAAAATATCTAACTTCCTCTTGGTCTGAGCTAATGACAGTTAATTAGAAAGTTGTCCGGCTTGATCTGAACCATATGCATACCTGTGTCTGTCGAGTTTCATGCAATTTCAAGCATGCTAAGAGTCTCAAAAGCATCAAACAAGAATATTAAAGTTTGATGTGTTGCCACGGCAACAGTATCTAAGATATCAATAATCCTTTCACAGGTCTACATCTGCCGTGTGTTTACATTATACACATAAAGTTTGAAGCAAATCGGGTAAAAATAAGAGGGTGATTTCAAAGCATTTAGGAAGTGACACACTTCCTGCTGCCAGTTGGTGGCGCTATAACTTTGACTCACAATAGTCACATCCATGTGATCGGGCTCTTACAACGAACACACTGTTGAAGTTTCATCAAGATCAGTTAATGTATGCAGTAGTTATGACACACTTCCTGTTTCACGTTTCTCGCCATAATTTTGTTTCCTCGCCACGGCCAAACCGTTCGAGATATCAAAAATCCCCTCGCAAACTTTCATCCTCAATGTCTTGACTTCATGCTGACCGAGTTTCGTGCCGTTTGTTTGAATTCTCTAGGAGGAGTATTTCACATTCCATTGCGTGTGTTTTACCAACAACCCTAAATAGCCGACTTCCTGTTGGGCTGGGGTAAAAAGTAAGAGTGTGAAGTATATATGAAACGAGGAGATCTACATGTGTACCAAGTTTCAAATTATTACATGCAAGCGTGTTTGATTTATGGACCATGTTTTCGGACCCCGTTCCAGGGGGCGCTGTCGAGCCCCCCTGCCACGCCCGGGTACCATCTTCAGCCCGGCCCTGATGGCCGCGGGTTCTGACATGTGTGCAAAGTTTCAGGAGTTTTTGAGCATGTTAAGGCCTCCAAAAGTGTCCAAAAGGTAGCAGAAAAATAATAAGAATAATAATAATAATAATAATAATAAATAATCCTAAGGAAAACAATAGGGCCTTCGCCCTTTGGGCTTGGGCCCTAATAAATAATCCTAAGGAAAACAATAGGGCCTTCGCCCTTTGGGCTTGGGCCCTAATAATAAATAATAATCCTTAGGAAAACAATAGGGCCTTCGCCTTTTCAAGGCTTGGGCCCTAAAAATAATAATCCTTAGGAAAACAATAGGGCCTTCGCCTTTTCAAGGCTTGGGCCCTAATAAATGTTTCATCAACTAATTAAATAAGTAGTAAATATAGCAGACAGATAATCACGACACAGAGGGGCCGGCGCGTGAACTGGAGCTCGTCTCATATGAATCGAAACCCAGTGTATAAGCCTAGCCTATAGACCTGAGAAATATATCTACCGGTATATTGAAATGTCTACTTTTAAACCGAACAATTCAAAACGAAAGAAAACTCTCTGCTTATGTAATCCGTATGAAAAGTGCATTTCTCTCTGGCGCGTTCACTACTGCGAAGATCGCGAGTCCGCATCGCAACTTCGTCTTTGCAGCTGACACTGGCAGAAAACACTAATAAACAATTAAATGTCTCCTTGCTATATTTGACATATTCATAATCATTACTTTTGCCGGTTCTTTGTGTAAGCTTATTGGTGCTTTATTGGCAGTGCCAGCCTTACGTTACATGAACGCGTCACCACCGCATCAGCACCGAAAACTGGAGATTTTTTTAGACAATAATCGCACAACCTATTTGATATTCTATAATTAAATACTCAGTGACTCATCCCAACCAACTATTTAAAAAAAAAATAACTTGTAAGCATCTTTTTACATGTTACATATCATGCGAGTCGTGACTACCTTTCCATGTGACGCGAGCTATTTGAAGAACGTGAAGAAACATGGAAATCAACCCAGAGATTGCGGACCCTCCCAATAGCCTACATTTCAGTCAGCAGTATGTCAACATTTCGGCTACACGGTGGAGAACAGGGATGGCAATCGTGTAATCTACAAGACCCACACAATTTGCCGTAAGTGTTTTAATAAGCTTCCTCAATTGACCGGCAACACGTCCAACATGCAGATGCATATCCTACGGTACCATCCCGAAATCAATTTAGTTGGAGCACAGAACACAACCCAAAAGCAGCAGCCTACACTGCCTAGTTTAGTTTAATAATTTGCATAGTTATTATTGTTCTTTGGTGTTCAGATTATACAGGTTTTTCCTAATGTTATTTAATAAAAATACCAGTATATATTTTTTTTTTCTCTCAAAATCTTTTTTTTCACCCCAAGCCCTGCCCCCTCCCCTCAAGCCCCGCCCCTGTGACAGAATCGCGATAAGAATCGAATCGTGGGTCAAAAATCGTGATACGAATCAAATCGTGGGTTTGGTGTATCGTTACAGCCCTACAAACTACTTGCATACAAATATCAGCCATCACTCTATATCTGCCAATACTATGTCTTAGTGAGATGATATTAAAATCCTTAGTTTTATGATCAAAGCTCTGTAGTTCTGGGTTAGGGTTCGAGTTGCACTAAAGCCCCTTTCACACAGCGCGTTGATCCCGGGAAATTGCCAGAACGCCTTCTGTGTGAACGCAAACACGACCCGGGAGTGAAGTGAAAGCAGGCTAGTGAAACGGTACGTAATGTGCTAGTTTATGATCGAATCAGAGAAAAAATGCACAAGCGTGGTTTCTCCAGAGAGAAATCGCAGCTCATAAGCAAACTATACACGCTGCTGAGACATTACATATGTCACATCGATGTCACGTGTCTTCACGGGATTTTTACGGGTTGTGTGTGAACGCACTCTCTGATTCCGGCAAATCACTGGCAGTGTGAATGAACCAAAATCAAACGAACCGGGGTCAAGTCCAGGGTCGCTTTATCCGTGTATTTTCCAGAATCTCTGTGTAAAAGGGGCTTAACATATAATGCAATGCAATGATGATTGAGAGATGAAGAAATAAAGCCTGATGGATCACATAAAACACCCAACCAAATAAATAAACTGGTTTATTTGCCATTTTGCTGTTATATTGTTTTGATTTTGTCTCCTTTTACAGTATCGGCCTCCCATGAAGAAAGTGCGCAAGTCTCTGGCTCTGGATGTGATCGACTGCAGTGAGAGTATCACTGCACGAAAGCAGCAGAGCAAACACACAGACAAAACTAATCCGAAGGTACAGGAACCGGACGGATGCTGATGCGTTTGCTCAGTGTTACTGAATCGATTATTAAGCAGGTTTTGTGTTGAACTTCCAGGCTCAAACGGCACGCTCGCTCCATCTCGACTCCTGCGCTGTGAAGGAGGAGAACCTGCTGGATCAAGGGTTTATTCTCGACCCGAATGAGAGTGGGCCGCCCTCGAAACCTGCGCCTCAAACACCGAGCACGACTCCTCTGCCTGTGAGTGATCAGATCAGACATGCCATGTTTACACTGCAGTTATTATAATTCATGCAATAGTATGTATCACAACACAGCTAGTATGTTTAGTTTGTTCTGTTAGTTTGTTGGTTGAGATTTCACTTACATTACAACTTAAGTTAGTGTGTAATGTTGCTGTTTGAGCATAAACAACATCTGCAAAGTTACAACGCTAAAGTTCAAAGCAAAGGAATATATTTGCTTTTAAATGAATCATTTTTTTAGGACTTCAACAAACGGCTGGTAGGGACTACACGACATTCCTCCCAGGTTAGTGACATCACAACCCTAAAATTTACATAAGCCCCGCCCCCGGGAACACACAGTCCATGTTGAGGAGAGGAAGAGTTGTTGTAGTCGAGCACATCTGTGATTCTGCTCCGTCTCTTCACATGCGATACAGAACGCAACACAAATGCACTAGCATGTCCCTCTGTAGCGTCTCACAACAGTTCCCACACGAGCGATTTATAGATTATCATGACAGAATATGCTAATCAAAGACTTGAAGATAGTTAACTCCACATCAGCTACATAAATTCATCAACTAACCATTCAGAAACGTCCTGTTGCTCTACATGTTGTTGTCTCTCCATCATTGTCCGACTCCGGTTTGAACATAAAAGGCAGAGCAGTTTCACACACACACACACACAAGCTCTTGAAGCTCCGCCCTCTGTGCCGGGAGCAGCAGCTCATTTGCATTTAAAGGGACACACATGAAACGACGCGTTTTTACTGACCCTCAAAAAGGGACAACTTTAACATGCTGTAAAATATATCTGTGGGGTATTTTTAGGGCTGGGCGATAAAACGATAACGATAGTTATCGCGATATAATTTTTCTTGATAAAACGATATCAAGAGTTCGATAAATGTTCGATAATGTTTATGTGCCAAAAGCGGAACGAAACTCATTTGAACCGCGCGCCTCACGGACTGTTTATCCGCTCGGCTCAAAGTCCAAACGGCAGCGCAGCGCGAGCTCTCTAGAGGAGATACGTTTACTCTGATCGGCCTCGCTCACGAGATCCAGTGAGAAGCGCTTGAGTTCAGCGAAGAACACAAACGTCTCAGTGATTTAAAGCAGTAAAGGCAGATGAAACAGCGCTGACGAACAGGAGAAACACTGTGCGCAACGATACAGTCAGAAGGCTTTTCCGTCTACAAATTCCCATCATTTACCACGGATTTACTGTAACGTTAGCCTAGTAATATTAACTGCACTATGAAATATGGGATATACATATTGAATTGTATTATATTATTAATGTAGACAATGTAAGGACTAATGGAATATAATAACATTATTTAATAATGTATTTATAGGCTACAGTTTTTCATACAAATACCATAGAAACCATAAAGTAACATATTAACATGATAGTGAGGTGGTTTTATCTGTGGTTATCATGATGATCTAAATGCATGATGCTGGATGACCAATGGTTAATTTGAATAAAACTCAAACAGTCAGAATATTACATTTTACCAAATAAAAATTAGCACATGCAGAAACTAAGAAATATTTTTCTCTATTAAGATATTTATTTTGTTAAGGAAAAATGACATGTTCTAACTCAGAGTTGGCAAATGTTCTCGTGTTTGTCATGATATGTTCTGACAATAAAGAGTAGTTTAAAACCACAATTAACGCTCTGGTTTCTTCAACTTTCACTTTAACCTTTAAACTTGAAACAAATAAAGATTTGACATTTATCGTGATTATTATCGATATCGACTGATGTAAAAAAATTATCGTGATATTTTTTTTTTGGGCCATATCGCCCAGCCCTAGGTATTTTGAGCTAAAACTTCACATACACACACACACACACTCTGGGGACTTCAGAGACTTATTTTACATATTGTTAAAAGGAGCATTATACCAGCGCTTTAAGTGTTATATTCTGTTATTACTGCTCATCATTTGTTGTTCTTCTGACAGATGTCTTCAGCCTGGGAAACTGTTGTGTGTGGACGGACAAAAGACCAGCTGATCATGACGGAGAAAGCCAGACGGTACCTTCGCTCTTTAAAATCTCACGCCCCAAACCGAGCCCTCATACTTTCCTGAGTCCCGTTGCAGCTTCTCGGATATTCCTTACAAAACATAATGTGGAAAATTTGTGTTGATGAATATGAAACCAATTACTGTTCCAGAATAGACACTTTAATGCTGATAATGCTCTTGTCCTGTTTTCTATGACTTATTGGCACATTCAAAATACCATTTTTCTTCATTTAACCCTGTATAATAATAATAATAAGTGTGTTGCTATTCTTTGTTTTATTTATGTATTGTCAACCCATTATTCATGTGGCAGCAAACAAGTGCATTTTGCAGCAGAATTTTAAATGGTGAACATGCCAAGCTGAGGAAATATTCAGGGATCTCAGTATCTTTTTATATTCTGTTGACATTTTCTGCATTTCTGAAAGGATAACTAGACGTCTGCTAGAGCTCATGTGATGTACAGTGTGTGTGTATTCAAAGAAATAGGTTGACCGTTTTTTCCTGCTGTTTGGAAAATACTATACATCTTGTAAAATATATTTTAGGAGTTCAGAAGTAATGTGACAAGGCCAAAGTGAGGCCTTTAAATCTGTGTATAGAAACATGTTTTTTTTTTTTCTTTAAAAAAAAGTAGAATATTGTAATATGCTATGAAAGAAAAATAAAACCGTTTTTGACTGTTTTGATGGTAACACTGTATATTTTTGTGGAAATATCAAAAATTTAAATAGCTAATGTACTCGTCCTTTAATTAGAAAGATAGTAGAAGCTCTATTACCCATATTGAAATTTGCATTTAGAAGGCTATTGGAAGTAAAATGTATTTGTATAGCACATTTAAACAAGTGTTGAACAAACTAAACATCGTATAGATTTTGTGCCATTCTCCTAAGAAAACCTCCAGTTCTTCAAGAGACAGTGGAAATGTTACTCTTTAGATTTTAACACGCTCACACACATGCATTCACAATGCATTTGCTGCTGTAAGCAAGATACAGAATTAGTGGAACAGAATCCATTCAGGACATTAAAATGCTGAGGAAAAGAGACAGTAAAGTGTTAATGTTAGCTGTATATAATAAGGAAAAGATGTATATAATTGAGCCTGTTTGACATTGCAGTAGTTTTCACATATAGGCAATTTTTTATATGTATTTATTGTTTAAAGTGGGTTTGGGGAGGATACATTTTTCTCCATAAATGTAGTTACTGAGCGGTCAAATCTGCTCTTTTCATGGTGCACACCTCGCTGGTTTATTTAGTCAGCATGAAATAGATGGCCTTTTCCCCTATTGTGTCGTATATCTGAGTGAAACGCTTCTGGAACACAAACAAATGTGGGCGGGGCTTGAGTTTGTCTGTGAGGAATTGATTGGATGGTTGTGGTTTGCTATTGGCTGATCCCGTGTGAGTGACAGGTTGCTCCGCCCTCGTCATCAGAGAAGAGAAGAGATGCTGCAAGAGGAACTTATTCTGATTCAAGATTATGAGGAACATGAATTTAAAGCAATAATGATGATGTGCACCGATAAATCATTTATAATAAACATGGTAATATTCTATAAAAAAAATATGAGTTTTGATTCCATTGTGACTTTAATTGGGCATGTTAAAAATAAATTAAAAAACAATGTGATTTTGACAATGCCATCCTGAAAGACTGAGGAGCTTTTCTCTGGTTTGTGATGTACATTACACCTGTAGCTCATGCTTCAAGAAAAGTTCCTGTTGCAGACAGTGAATCATTAACACAGACTGGAGGAGATGACAGTCACTGCTGAACTAACAGGTTCATCTCTGGCTCTGCTGTGAAATCTACATTCACACTGCTCTGTCATTGTCATGTCTGTTATTATAAGTAACTGTCAGAAGATCAGTCCTGTGTTTAATTCCTCTGTAGGAGTGTGATGAGCACAACCATCAGTCAATTCATCATTCTCCAATACCAAAACCATCTGTTCACTCTACTCTGACCAGGAGGTGGCGCTCATGAGCTGGAGAGGGTTTTGCTCACTACTGTAGCCTATTCTAAAAAAGGCTCAATTAAGTTTATGTAAGCAGCTGATATGAATCCAGTCTGTCTGTAAAGGTTTATGGACTCTTTCACATAACTATGATGAGTTATTTTTACAAATAAAAGAAAAATACATCTGTTAAAATTGTTAATAAATCTGTTTTAGCGTGTTTGGTGTGAGAGGCTCTGTCTCACACTCACTCTACCCTTTTAAATCTCACTGTAAAGTCCCGATGTCATTGTATCCCTTAAAACTCACCTTCACCAAAATTACACATTTAAACGTTTTTCCCTGAAAAAAATCTCCATGCCTTTAAATAGTCTGTGATGTCAGAAACACCAGCGATTTCAAACGGTGTTTTTGAGACTGTCTTTGGTTCACTGCAGTTTTAAGGAGAAAATACTCAGCAATGCTGCCTGTCGATTTATGGATTTACCTACAGAAGGATTGTCTTAAAGCATATTTAAAACACCACATAGACATATAAATAACATTAACCCTCAGGTGCTCTTCGGTCATTTCTGACCGAAAAGTTTTCTGTTTTAAATTTTTAAAAATTACAGCTTCATCGGAATGTTACGAAACTTGGTGACTTTTATTGCATTGGGTATGTGAACTCACAAAAAAATTGAGGTCATGATCCGAGCAGGCTAAGTGGTCGTAAAAAAAATAGTCACACTTGTGCTCTTCGGTCAAAAATGACCGACCATAGGAAATGAATGGGAAATTGACAAAAACACAAAAAAATCTGAGAATTTTTGTGTGCACAATCTACAAATTGGCCACGATGCTGAAAAAAAGTGCTCAACAATGAAGGGGGGGCACTCTAAAACACCAAGAGTGCAAAACAGACACACTCACCCACACACACAAACACACTTTTTATACACATACACAGCAATGAATTGACCGACCATAGGAAATGAATGGGAAATTGACAAACACAAATTCTCTACAAATCGGCCACAATGCAGAAAAAAACATCAATAGTGAAAAACATAACATAATTAATCATTATAATTAATATATATATAATATAATAATCATTAAAATTATTAAAATAATAATTAATATAATATTTAAAAATAATAAATTAATATATTTTAAAATAATAATAATATAAATAATAATAAGCTGTAAAAAACCATTACAGTTTATTTTTGTATTTTTTTTATTGAATTGTAATGTTACCTGTTGCTTTCTCTGTATTCAGGTTTGACTGTAGTAATAATGCAAAAACGTGTACACTTCACATCAAAATTATAAAACAAAAAATTATAAACCATGGCAAAAAACACACACATTCAAATCCACATCTTAAAAGTAAGTCCAAAAACTATTAGAGAATTCACAAGCCTCTCCATAGAGAGCTATACAGGCATCTAGTGGTTACACTATGAAACGACATGTTTTATTTTAATTTCTCTCAACAGATGGCGCTAATCTGACTTCAAAAATTGGATTTAAAAGGCCAGGGGCCTCATTTATAAACGTTGCGTAAGCACAAAAGAAGGCGTACGCCGCTCTCTACGCAATAATTGGTATTTATAAAAAGCAAACTTGACGGTAAAATGTGCGGGCCTTCACGCAAGCTCTGACCCAGGCGTACGCACAAAAACGGGTAAAATGAGAAATGGCGACACCGTCGGCAGATAGAAGAAACACGTGAAAGTGTGTGAAACTGTAGACCGTTGTGTAAAATAAATGGCAATTCTGCCTCTCATAAATAACACGAAGACTTCACAAAGCAAGTCTTACAATTAACAGCCTACACGAACACCCGTTTGATCGATCTGCAACAGAAATGCAAATTAACACATATTGCAAAAAGAAAAGTGAAATATGTTCTGCAATAATATTGGCATGTTATACAATTCATCCTCATAAATAAGATGGTAAACAGAACGAAAAAATGTACAAAACTGATATTCTCGCCAATGTGTCCGTCTGGCGGAGCAGATATAGATGCAATTAGATAGATAGATAGATAGATAGATAGATAGATAGATAGATAGATAGATAGATAGATAGATAGATAGATAGATAGGGAGATAGATAGATAGATAGATAGATAGATAGATAGATAGATAGATAGATAGATAGATAGATAGATAGATAGATAGATAGATAGATAGATGTATTTGTGTAACGGGGCCTTTAGCCCTTCATGTAGGGGAATATGGATTATGGCTGCTCTGGAAGTTTGGACAACGAAAGGATCTTGGTCCCCGCTCCCCAAACGTTTTTAGCCTCGTTACACGCTAATGTGTGTATGTGGTTTCTTACTTTTTTGTTTGGAAAATCTAAAGATCGACAAGGGTAGGCTTCAGATATAATAATGTCACCCGGCGGCTTCCTGGAGAAAAATTGCATATATTAAAACACAGTGTGTTATGCTCCTCCCTCCCCAGATCTGATAAAGTAAGTGAGACTACCCCCACTCCCTAGCAGCTCTCAATGAAAATGTACATAAGCACAAAAACAATTAAAACAATTTATTTTTCTTGTGATTGGTTATGTCTTTTTGTCTAAAGAATGAACAAAATAAATTCACTTGTCTTTCTTTCTGAATTCACACCAACTTTTCAACACTGAAGTTGTAAAACTCTTCTCTTGTGATATAACAAATCCTTTATGGAACTTCAAAATGAAATAATTTTTAATGTGTCAATTTGTATACCAACAAATTATCACCTTTCTCAAAAGATCACCTTCAAACAATCACATTTCAAACCAACAAACATAAACATACCATCAAATCTCACCCTTGAATAAGCACCTTTAAATGTTCACTCACAGTTCACAGTTTATCAGTTCAGTCACTGGAAAATCAGAAAAATACCAGTTCACGGAACGATGAATTCGAGTGCGTTGTCTGGACGTGGGGTGCAACACCTGAAGATCCCGTATTGAAGTGTGCAAGTTCAAGTATGCAATCGACTTGGTATCAACCGTTTCACAAATGAACTGTCTCAAAAATAAAATCAACTTGAAGGTGAATTAGACTGAGATGTCACTTGAATGGCAGGGTAACAACAATCTTCACTCTGGAATCAGCGAAAAAAAATTTATCTCTTCATTAAGTGCGTACTGCGTACTAACTGCTTCAGCGAGCTCACTCTCACGTGCTCTGACTCGTGCGGGAAACTCAATTACACGTGAACCGTCTCGTTCAGCCACTAACTCGACGATACTTATCTATCAAAACACGAGAAGTGCATAAAACTGCAAAAAAAAAAAACGTGTAACAAGTCTCTGAATTACAAAAATCAAACAGAGTTTGCACTTAAAATGTCCTCACAGCTTCCGTGGTCTTCACAATGTGTCACCGCGTCATTCTCACAGTAAACACATACCACTGGAACAAAACTGTCTTCTACAAAATCAAACGTAGGTCACTGCTCACACTTTCACTTAGTGCTGTCTGCAGTTGCGGTTACTCTACTTAAGCCTCGATAATCTTCAATTGAAACGACTTATCGAACGAGCTTCTCAATCGCGACACTGCACTCTCTTCTGCGTCAGTCACACACTCATCACACACGCGCTTCTTCGTCTCTCTCCGCT